GAAATTTAATATTTAATCTGCTAACCAGAATGCTTTGAAATGTTGCAGATGTTTTAAGGCTATAAAGAGCATCATAAATCTTTAGTCAAAAAATATTTGCTTATCCCCTCCAAAAACTTGATGACGTCAGCTCAAAAGTTTGTGGAATAAATCATATCTAAAATGTACAAAATATGATGAGTCTGTACTTGTGATCTATCACTCCATTCATATTTTTTGGTCTTGCATATACAGGGTGACTCAAAAAAATTAATGAATGCGTAAATATATTTTATTGATTTAATCAGGAACTACAAAACCGAATGCTCTAAAATCTTGCAGATGTTTTAAGGTCATAAAGAGCATAATAAATGTTTAGTCAAAATATATTTGCTTATCCCCTCCAAAAACTTGATGACGTCAGCTCGAAAGTTTGCCGAATAAATCATATCTAAAATGTACAAAATATGATGAGCCTGTACTTGTCATTTATCACTCCATTCATATTTTTTGGATTTGCATATACAGAGTGACTCAAAAAAATTAATGAATGCGTAAATATATTTTATTGATTTAATCAGGAACTACAAAACGGAATGCTCTGACATCTTGCAGATGTTTTAAGGTTATAAAGAGCATAATAAATTTTTAGTCAAAATATATTTGGTTATCTTCTACAAAAAACTGATGACGTCAGCTCAAAAGTTTGCCGAATAAATCGTATCTAAAATGTACAAAATATGATGAGTCTGTACTTGTGATTTATCATTCCATTCATATTTTTGGATTTGCATATGCAGGGTGACTCAAAAAAATTAATGAAGGCGTGAATTTATTTTATCGATTTAATCAGGAATTACAAAACCGAATGCTTTGAAATCTTGGGAATATTTTAAAGTTATTATAAGCATGGTAAACTTTTGTTCAAAATGTATTTGTTCATCCCTCCTAAAAAAATTGATGACGTCACCCTTAAATTTTGCTGAATAAATCCTATCTAAAATGCAAAAAATATGAGTTTGTACTTGTGATTTATCATTCCATTCTAATTTTTTAGATTTTCTTAAGAGGTGGTTCAAAAAAATTAATGAAGTCAATTTATTTTATTGATTAAATTAAAGGCAACACTTATTATTAGTATTACACCCCAACCAACCCAATTTGGTAGACACAAAATTTGTTAAAGGAAAAACTCGGTTGAAACATAAGGGTAGCACGCTTATTTACATCGACTTTAACATTACAGACCTGCATTTGTTTTATTCGTTCACTTGGTTCCGCGAATGTGAAATAGACATGTTTATAATCAACCAATTGTGAATTTCACCGTCAAGAATTAAAATAAAACCCAATGTTTTATATAATAAGCGGAAGTCGAAGCAATAAAACCGATGGTCGTTTTGTTTACAGTTTCTCTGTTTGACTCTCACGTATGCTGTTACGCTTGTCATCTTAAATTAAGAATGTTTATACATAAACGATTTTCAGTTGCCGTATACGTGAGTAAATTGTTTCGTTATTTTATTGATTATAAAAAATCAATATTCAAAACTACCCAATTCATTTTCCCGAAAATTTGGGAATACAATAATTACTTCCCGAGCGTAAGCAAAGGAAGTATTGTAATCGAGTCCGTCGGCCGACTCTCTACTTTTACGTTTTCTCGATCTTTCATGACCCCTAGAAGACGAAGAAATAGGTCTCCCATTTCCGTCTGTCTGTCCGTCTGTCCGTCTGTCCGTCCGTCTGTCCGTCTGTCCGTCTGTCCGTCCGTCTGTCCGTCTGTCCGTCCGTCTGTCCGTCTGTCCGTCTGTTGTCCCGGATTTTTATTAGACAGATAATCTCCGAAAGTACTCGACCGATTGTTGTGAAATTTTGTACTTATATTAAGAATATCATGTAGATGGTAAAACGCTAACCAAAATTTGTCTAATCATCCCCACCACTAATGCGATGACGTCACTTCAAAATTGTACATAGTAAATGGGTTTTCAATTGTATAAAATAACATAGTCCTACACATGTAGTTTACAACTCTGAAGCGACTTTTCACCCGAAACGTCCAGATTTTTGGAAAAAAAATCAAAATTATAAAACAACATTTTGAAATTTAATTTTTAATCTGCTAACCAGAATGCTTTGAAATGTTGCAGATGTTTTAAGGCTATAAAGAGCATCATAAATCTTTAGTCAAAAAATATTTGCTTATCCCCTCCAAAAACTTGATGACGTCAGCTCAAAAGTTTGTGGAATAAATCATATCTAAAATGTACAAAATATGATGAGTCTGTACTTGTGATCTATCACTCCATTAATATTTTTTGGATTTGCATATACAGGGTGACTCAAAAAAATTAATGAATGCGTAAATATATTTTACTGATTTACTCAGAAACTACAAAACCGAATGCTTTGAAATCTTGCAGATGTTTTAAGGTTATAAAGAGCATAATAAATGTTTAGTCAAAATATATTTGCTTATCCCCTCCAAAAAATTGATGACGTCAGCTCGAAAGTTTGCCGAATAAATCCTATGTAAACTGTAAAAATATGATGAGTCTGTACTTGTAATTTATCACTCCATTCATATTTTTTGGATTTGCATATACAGGGTGACTCAAAAAAATTAATGAATGCGTAAATATATTTTATTGATTTAATCAGGAACTACAAAACCGAATGCTCTGAAATCTTGCAGATGTTTTAAGGTCATAAAGAGCATAATAAATGTTTAGTCAAAATATATTTGCTTATCCCCTCCTAAAACTTGATGACGTCAGCTCGAAAGTTTGCCGAATAAATCATATCTAAAATGTACAAAATATGATCAGTCTGTACTTGTGATCTATCACTCCATCCATATTGTTTGGATTTGCAAATACAGGGTGATTCAAAAAAATTAATGAAAGCGTAAATTTATTTTACTGATTTACTCAGGAACTACAAAACCGAATGCTTTGAAATCTTGAAGATGTTTTAAGGTTATAAAGAGCATAATAAGTGTTTAGTCAAAATACATTTGCTTATCCCCTCCAAAAAATTGATGGCGTCAGCTCAAAAGTTTGCCGAATAAATCCTATCTAAACTGTACAAAATATGATGAGTCTGTACTTGTAATTTATCACTCCATTCATATTTTTAGGATTTGCATATACAGGGTGACTCAAAAAAATTAATGAATGCGTAAATTAATTTTATTGATTTACTCAGGAACTATAAAACCGAATTCTTTGAAATCCATTGCGAAAAAAAAACATAATAGGCATGCAGTCGTCACGTTTCCGACAGCGAGGGAAGTACTGTCTAAACTCTTTAGACCAATTTTTTTATTCTTAGTATTACACTACATCTATCCCAACTGATATACGTGTCCTTGCAAAAATGTTGATGACGTCATCGCAATTTTTTTTAAATTCCCACTACAAAAATGTAATGAGAAAAAAACACAATAGGCATGCAGTCGTCAAGTTTCCGACAGCGAGGGAAGTACTGTCTAAACTCTTTAGACCAATTTTTTTTACTAGTGCTTATAGTGTATGTAATGACAATTTTTTTTATAACTTTCATATTTAACTCCAACACAACGTTACAATCACAGTGTTATATAATACTGTTATACTTATGCAATGTAACTGTACTTTAACAGTCTTAAAGCATAATAGCAAATTTTGTTATAATTTTCTTATACATATAACTGCAACATAACTTCACCATCACAGTGTTATATAAATATTAACAAATTTTGTTATATTATTCTTATATAACTGCAACATAACGTCATCATAACTGCGTTATATAACATTATTATACTGATGTTATATAACTGTAATATTACATTTTTTGTAGCGCCAAGAAAACTTTGCTCTAATTTTGTTGCGTTACATAAACGTAACGGCAATATAAATGTGGGATATAACTCTGATAGTTTTTTGTTATATATACAGGTTTGAGGTTTGTTTACTTTCTCAAACACAAATCTGATATACTTGACTACTTAGTGATTTTGAAACTCTCGTTAGCAAACACAAATTTGAGTGAAGAATGAAACCGTTACTTGTAGACAACGACACTCACTGGCAGGCTCTTAAAAGAATAATTAGGTATTTGATAGAAACTAAAAATTATTATTGTATCGAGTATCGAGTACACAAATAGTGGAAGTAAGTTGATATTCACAGGTTTTTCTGATGCAGACTATGCGGGAGATGCCAATACAAGAAAGTCAACGACGGTGTATGTGTTCTTTTCATCGCATGGGCCAGTAACATGGGCATCACAAAGCCAAAAAATTACTGCAAGCACTATAACAGCGGGAGTGTTGAGAATGTTTAGCGTGCTTGCTAGCAGAATGTAAGACTGCGCATGGCATGTAAGTAAAAGTTCTATGTAGCTAGTTAGCTACTATTGTAAAGAAGGCATGTTATGATCAATGTTTTTGCGAATAAAGCTCATGTTTTGTTTTGTGTAATTGTTGGTTCATAAACTTAATCTCCAACTCAGCCCATAATTGGAACAAGAAATATGCAATTTTTTTACTAGGTAGAAATCGTAAGACAATAAATTGAAAAAATGGACCTTTAATTTTTTGACGCAAGATAATTTTGTCTTGATTTTTAATCAAACCTAACCTAAAGCTTCAAGACAAAGAAACCTGTCTACATTAAACTTGTCGCTGAATTAATTTTATCTTCCACCGTCTACCAACTACCACATATACTCAAGTAATATAATATATCTTCAATATCAATGACGGTCAAACGGCAACAGCCAATTGCAAACTACAGATTCACTCAACCCTACATGTGACGCTCTAGAACAGGTCCGGCTCCGAGACAATTTGGACCCAATCATGAATATGAAAACAGACACAGCTGACTTATCGGTCGCTAATTATTAAGAATGGGTTTACTCAGCGGTCCCAACTCACGGCGTCGTCTTCGGCGCGCGATCTTCTGGTGACGTTGTCGAGTTACCTGAAATCGCCCTAGCTGTACGTGTACAGTTTGGGATGTACTGCCCGTCCACAGCCCTCTCAGAAGGAGCACTGTCACGGTCAAAGTGGAGAGGGTAGACCCATGTCCATACGTCACTATGTTGCCTCCAGAAACCGGGTTAATCTCCCAAACTAACCAGTAAACGCATTCTTTGTTGCATTCGGTTGACACCATCGCCACCACCAGTCGGTCAACAGCCAGAACACCCCTTTCAAGGCTTTCACCAACCTGCTGTCTCATGGGCCAACCTGAGTACGCCCTCAGCGTCCAGGTACATACCATTGTATCTGCCGGAGATTTTACGCGTCAACACTACTCTTATGGTCAGGTTCACCCTAACCTGTCACCTTCTCTTATGAACACCTTGACACGCAAATCTTTGCTCTTATGACTCAACCCGAGTCCATCACAGCACAACAGGGCTTTCACCCCATCGGCTACTTTGCACTCATTCTGACGGACTCTGACTAACTGCCCTCGAAGTGCACCCTCGGCATCTGAGATATGTGTCTTAAGTGACGGTTAATAATTAAAACTGATTGGTTTTGTCGCCTTTAAGACCTGCACTAAAAATTCCGCTTACAACTTTAAGAAATAAATACATTAAGTATTTGATACATAACGTATATCTTCTTTTTTAACCTTGATACTAAAGTTGAACTTCACTACTTCGAAACAAGTGGACAGTTGCTTCGTGGCTACTGGTGAAAGAAAGTACTTTTTATTGTAGTGTCGATTTGTTAAAATGCAGGTTATTTTCTAATAAATTATGTGGAACAACAAATTGTAAAACAAAGATGTGGTCCATGTAAAACCAGAAATTTACAAAAAATTATGGATTTAGAAAGTCCATATTTACTTACTAACCGAACCATTACGTGTACATACTACACACGTGTAGTGACGTCAAGTTTACAGAACATTCCTGAACAAATTTCTTTATAATATTCAGAATATTTTGTTCAGTTCATTTAAATCAAACACGTGATATTCTTCCGATGTATAAACACTTCAAGCACTACGCATATTGCCCAGAGACCATTTTTTCCGCTGTTTATTGTCCGTATGTTTTGTTTTCAGTATTGTTTCTTATTCTTGTTTTGCGTTTCTATTCTTTCGGTAATTTATAAAATGTGCGGTACCTTCTACTAATTTATCAGGGGATCTCGTAGTTTGTCAAAAATTTAAAAATCCACTTGCATAATTAATTTTCTGTGGAACTATCCTTATTGGAATCAAGAGTCTTACGGTATTCAGATAATTATCTTGATTTTGTTCATAATTAACACTACAACTACAACATTAAGAATTAGATTGAATAATATCTCTGAGGGCAAATAATATCTCAGTGGAAGCTAAAAAAGGAAACTTAAATTTCAACATGAACAGGAGTTGGTAAAATGTAGAAAGGGCACAAGTTTTTTTTACATCTCAGCCTTCTTCTTTTTTATATTCAATTATTGACAATATGTAAATTACAATTTCTAACCACCTCCTATTCATAATAAAAAAAAATCCACTTCTGAGGGTTGTATTATCAATTAGTTATTAATATTACATTATCACTATTAAAACAATTATTATTCCGAGCGTAAGCGAATATTATAATCGAGTGCACTGCGTGAATTGCTATTTTCATTCTTCACCGTGTAATTTATGAATCCGTGTTGATTTTTTTGTATCCAAATGCCAAGGGTGAAAATCCTAGGCATCCTGATAACAACCTTATAGAATTGAAATTGTACAACCGAATGCTCTGAAATCTTGCAGACGTTTTAAAGTTATCTTAAGTATAATAAATTGTTAATCAAAATAAATCCTCTCTGAATTATGCAAAATATACTCTATGCTTGTGGTTTATCAATGCACTGATAGTTTTTAGAATTACGTATGTCACTCTGTATACTCAATGAAATTAATAACTGAGAATTTTATTGATTAAATCACTGGATATATCCAAATTAATATACGTGTCTTTGCAAAAATGTTGATGACCTCATCACAAAATTTTGTAATGAAAAAACTTACTTGAAACAAACGCGTAGTACATTACGTCTTTATATTTACATTAACATTACATTCATATTTTTAACTCAAATTATAAAGGTTATCAATTTATCATAAAAGAAGTAAAATTCACAAATTCAAATCTTCAAGTTCTATGGAAATGTCCTACGACTAATTTTTTTCATTGAAAAACAAACGAAAAAGTATTTGTCAACTACTTTTGACTTCTTGTTTCAGATAGTGGCAGTTGTGAACTTTGAAATACTCCACATCATCGCGACATTACTATGACTTACCAAATGAAGACTCATCGATAATATACTGAATGCTGTAGTGTTAAAACTGTGGTGAAAATATGGCATTCGATTTATCGCAAGAAGAGCAGCAAATTGTGCAACTGCGACTACTGGAGTGCGAAGCGTTAACAAATTCAACAAACAATAGTATTTCCGGTAAGTTTCGATACACTTTTAGGAATTATCGTGCAATTATTTGGCGCCTCAACTTTTATCTTACAGTAACAATGGAGATGATTTAGAGTGTGAAAGCACGTTTTCAAGGGGCATTTATTTCGGGAGTAAGTTCAAAGGGAAACTTTTAACAATAGTTACATTTTGTGACTCTAGATAGAAAATCAAAGATCCTGAAATAATCTATTCATTGTTATGTCGCGGACACGAGGAGTGCAGAGTGGAATTTACGAGTTGGAAATTAAAGAAAAGTTGGAGGCCTGTTTTCAGTTTAAAGTCTTCTGAGTTAAATTGGCATTACTTTGGTTTGTTGGAGGACTGTTTTCAGTTTAAAGTCTTCTGAGTTAAATTGGCATTACTTTGGTTTGGCAAAGAGAAATTTTTGATATTTCGCATTTGACAGCGAAGGTTTGAACAGTTAGTATTTTCTAATTTAACCGAGTTTTATTTAAAAATATTCTTCTTTTTAAATCCCGAGCGTAAGCAAAGGAAGTATTGTAATCGAGTCCGTCGGCCGACTCTCTACTTTTACGTTTTCTCGATCTTTCATGACCCCTAGAAGACGGAGAAATAGGTCTCCCATTTCCGTCTGTCTGTCCGTCTGTCCGTCTGTCCGTCCGTCTGTCCGTCCGTCCGTCTGTCCGTCTGTCCGTCTGCCCCCGGATTTTTATTAGACAGATAATCTCCGAAAGTACTCGACCGATTGTTGTGAAATTTTGTACTTATATTAAGAATATTATGTAGATGGTAAAACGCTAACCAAAATTTGTCTAATCATCCCCACCACTAATGCGATGACGTCACTTCAAAATTGTACATAGTAAATGGGTTTTCAATTGTATAAAATAACATAGTCCTACACATGTAGTTTACAACTCCGAATCGACTTTTCACCCGAAACGTCCAGATTTTTGGAAAAAAAATCAAAATTATAAAACAACATTTTGAAATTTAATTTTTAATCTGCTAACCAGAATGCTTTGAAATGTTGCAGTTGTTTTAAGGCTACAAAGAGCATCATAAATCTTTAGTCAAAAAATATTTGCTTACCCCCTCCAAAAACTTGATGACGTCAGCTCAAAAGTTTGTGGAATAAATCATATCTAAAATGTACAAAATATGATGAGTCTGTACTTGTGATCTATCACTCCATTCATATTTTTTGGATTTGCATATACAGGGTGACTCAAAAAAATTAATTAATGCGTAAATATATTTTATTGATTTAATCAGGAACTACAAAACCGAATGCTCTGAAATCTTGCAGATGTTTTAAAGTCATAAAGAGCATAATAAATGTTTAGTCAAAATATATTTGCTTATCCCCTCCAAAAACTTGATGACGTCAGCTCGAAAGTTTGCCGAATAAATCATATCTAAAATGTACAAAATATGATGAGCCTGTACTTGTCATTTATCACTCCATTCATATTTTTTGGATTTGCATATACAGAGTGACTCAAAAAAGTTAATGAATGCGTAAATATATTTTATTGATTTAATCAGGAACTACAAAACGGAATGCTCTGACATCTTGCAGATGTTTGAAGGTTATAAAGAGCATAATAAATGTTTAGTCAAAATATATTTGCTTATCCCCTCCAAAAACTTGATGACGTCAGCTCGAAAATTTGCCGAATAAATCATATCTAAAATGTACAAAATATGATCAGTCTGTACTTGTGATCTATCACTCCATTCATATTTTTTGGATTTGCATATACAGGGTGATTCAAGAAAATAAATGAAAGCGTAAATTTATTTTACTGATTTACTCAGGAACTACAAAACCGAATGCTTCGAAATCTTGAAGATATTTTAAAATTATCATAAGCATGGTAAATTTTTGATCAAAATGTATTTGGTCGTCCCCCCTAAAAAATTTATGACTTCACCACAAAATTTTGCTGAATAAATCCTATCTAAAATGTACAAAATATGGTGAGTCTCTTCTTGTGATTTATCATTCCATTCAAATTTTTTCGATTTGCATATACAGGGTGACTCAAAAAAATTAATGAATGCGTGAATTTATTTTATCGATTTAATCAGGAATTACAAAACCGAATGCTTTGAAATCTTGGGAATATTTTAATGTTATTATAAGCATGGTAAACTTTTGTTCAAAATGTATTTGTTCATCCCTCCTAAAAAAATTGATGACGTCACCCTTAAATTTTGCTGAATAAATCCTATCTAAAATGCAAAAAATATGATGAGTTTGTACTTGTGATTTATCATTCCATTCATATTTTTTAGATTTTCTTAAGAGGTGGTTCAAAAAAATTAATGAAGTCAATTTATTTTATTGATTAAATTAAATTTTTTTCCTATTGTAATATTGTTGCAGTATTTGTTAATCAAAACCATCTCGAAACAGAGAAGAGCGAAAATAATGGAATCGAATTTGAACTGAATTTATAACTGCGGCTTGTTTGAGGTAGCGGCTTCATTGTTAAGAGATTAACTTAAGTACAATAGGGCCTTATATTACTATGCATCTCGTCAAACCCACCTATTGCCTCCAACTCACAGAGCTAAAACATAAATTGTACAAAAAATAACCATAATTTATTTTACATAGGTAGGTAGTTGATTGTTTTCAAATCATTTTCTTCGTTTTCAATATTTGCCTGTAACATTGCCATATTTTTATGTAACTCACTGATATTTTAGGGGTTGATGCAAAGGTTGATAAACAATCTGCGATTAAGGTCTATAACCGAGAGGTGTCTATGTAATATGTAGTATAAAGTAAAAATGCGAAACAGCAGCAAACTGTAATTTAGTTCGGTTCGGGTTGGTACACGTGTTAAATACAAAACGACTAGGTCGATAAGATCTGACCGTTTTGTGTGAAGATTTTATCTTTTCTATTTTAAGATCTCATTGGACAGAAAACCTTGCTTTTTAATCATGAATTCATGACACACAACATTTCTAATTACCACGACATTGTAGTGACGCTAGCCGCAGTAAGTACAAGACAATTTTCGCAGATACAAGTCTTTTATTTTTCTAATATTAACTAAATCTGCAAGTTTAAGTTAATGCCACTGGTTTTAAACAAAATATAATTTAAAGAGGAAAACACCAATGAATTTATTTAATCAATCATTTCGTATGTTCTATACTTGTTGAAAGAATAAATATGTAGATATCATTTTCAGTTTAAAATGTCATTTCCTTATTTATATAAATATTCTAATTATGATCACGGTTTACTGAGATTTCGTGGATTAAGCTGAAGCGAATCGTGCCGTTGCATATAAATTTACAATGTGAGCGTTGAAATAATATGTAAAAAATAAATATTATTCTCTCTTAGATCAATATTTAAAGTTAATATTTATTTTTCTACTTACTTGGCAGGAATTTGAAATGTATGTTAATACCACTCCATTAATTTAGTGCATAGTAGTAGGTATTATTATTGATTCACAGAAAATAGAATGATATTAGGCCAAAAATTAATCACCAGAATTCTATAAATGTTTGATATGCCTATATTAATTTATAAATATTCCTTATCTTACAGCTCTATAAAAAATCGCTTTATTTAATATGGTTTTATGATATCTATAACCGAACACGAACAAGATAGATATTCATAGCAATTATCATTAATTTTCCTTAAATATGTAAATGTAGCATTATTGTAAGGAATGATGTTTCACTTACGTCAGTAGGTAGTGAAAAAATTCAATGGGGACATTTTTAACGCATGTCAAGTAAAATACTTGAAGTACTTAAAGTACTTGAAGTATTATTTCAAGTACTTTTTCTTCAAGTACTGAACAGCTCTGGCCATAGTCCTGGTATGACATTTTACCAAAATTATACTAGTGCCCAATCATTGTAAGCTGAATTAAAGGTGGCAGCGTAACAGATTGAGTTAAAATGTGTTTCCAAATAATTTACAAAATATTATGGAAATAACAATACTCCGACTTAATGATTGTAAATAGTGAATACATTGTTATGAAAGCTCTTTGAAAAATTTAAATAGAAAATTACATTATTGAAAAAAAATCAAATTAACATTTAAAAAAATAATTTTACAACAAATGTTCCAAATATTCTCTATTTACTTTCTAGCAACAGTAAATACGTTGCACAAAGTTTTCAAATGAATTTGTTAGAATATTAGGAGGAATATCAGCAATCATATTTAATATTCTCTCTTGGATGCTTTGTGGTTATTTAACATAAACTCGATTTTTTACCAACCCCACAGAAAAAATTGGTTGAGTTGAGTTTTTCTTTACATAATTTTGTGATGACGCCATCAACATTTTTGCAAGGACACGTACATCAGCTTTGATTGATGCAGTGTAATACTAAAAATAACAGTATTGCATTCCCAAATTTTTCTGGAAAAATGGAGTGCACCCGTTCCTGATTTAATCAATAAAATAAACTGATTCATTCATTTTTTTTGGGCCACTTGTTTAAGTAAATCTAAAAAATATGAATGCAATGATAAATTACGAGTATAGACTCATCATATTTTGGATATTTTAGATAAGATTTATTCGGCAAAATTTTGGCCTGACGTCATTTTTTTTTTTTTAGAGAGGATAAGCAAATATATATTTCATTAAAAATTTATAATGCTTATCATAACATTAAAACGTCTGCAAAATTTCCAAATATCTGGGCAGATATATATTTTTTTAATGTTCATGTTTTATAATATAAAATACAACCAACAATATTTTGACTAATCATCATTCACAATTTAGAATAATTCATACATAAACCTTGATGAACTTTACATTTTGCATCTAACAATTATATTTAAACAAAAACTTTGTTTCATAGGTATAATGGTAGTGGTGAAGGTCATTCCCCATGTTAATAAGCAATCGTGATTACTTATGATTAATTTTGAAATTCCATTGTTACGTCACAAAAATTTTGAAAAAATTTACTATGCAACATATACATACATAAAGTCTAATTTCTCATTCACCAGACAGATTTCTTTTTTTAAGAGGTCTTTAATACGTCTCTCTTTTCCTCTCTTAGAAAAAAAAAACAAGTAATTAATGATAATCTAATTAATAATTAAATCGATAATTAATGGATTTTGATAACGATAATGAGTAACAAATGAATGTACCCCGGCTAGCTAGTATGGTGAAAGTGAAAGTATAATTAACGATGACCTTCACCACTGCCTCGTTCACTACTGATAAGTGATACGGCAATACAATGTTAGTGGATACAAAATTAACATTCCAGTTATAGGGGAACCAGCTATACTCCGTGTTTATTGCTTTACTGGTCCCACCTCTAATAACCACCCGCTACTTAAAATCTGTTTACCTATCGTCAACAGTACAGAATCGTCTTCCTTATTTTACTATCTAAATCTATTTTACTATTTAAATCCGATTGTATGTCTATGATTACCACATAAAAACGGAATACCTCTGAACCAGTTTTAAAAAACGGTGAGAAAACATTAAACTATCCATCCCTTCGTCAAAATAGCCCTATTACAATACCTCCATAGCTTATGCTAGGATAATAAAAAAGAAAAACTTAAAGGATCATTGGTCACTATTAACACCATTACTTTTTAAAAAGAAATTCAGAAAAATGAAAATAAAATTAGTGCTAGCTTGATGGATAACAACAGATGTTTGTAAGTAAAATAGCGGAGACAACGAAATGAAATCCTGTCTTAAAATATAAAAGTGGTAAATGGTGGATACAGTCCAAACGTATTTTCTGTAAAATACTACAATTCGAGCAACTTAGAGTTGTTCGATCAACTTATTTATGTCTGTCATAATTTTATAAAACTGTATGTTGCTTCATTTTTATATTTTGTTTCAGAGCCGTATTGTCCTACTAGATTTGATGGATGGTCATGTTGGCCAAATACTCCTGGAGGATCAATAGCTAATCAGTCCTGTCCAAATATTCTAACCTTTGATGCTAACAGTAAGTTTTCCTTTAATCTGTTTTAAAAAAGGTAACATTAATTGTGTTATCAAATGTTGCATAAACCACTATAAGAGGGGCATTATGGAAGCTACTTATAAAATAAAACCAACTACAGAATGACTATTTAAAAGATACTAATATGGGATAACTATTATAGAAGTAATTTCACCACGAAAGGCTTAAGTTGCGCGACTTGTGGTCGGGGTAGCAGTGGCATAACATCGATGTATTGAGAAGGGAGGCTCGGCTGAGTTATATTTCTTTAAAAAACAATTAAAAAAATTGGTCTAAAGAGTTTAGACAGTACTTCCCTCGCTGTCGGAAACTTGACGACTGCATGCCTATTGTATTTTTTTTTCATTACATTTTTGTAGTGGGAATTTAAAAAAAAATTGCGATGACGTCATCAACATTTTTGCAAGGTCACGTATATCAGTTGGGATAGATGTAGTGTAATACTAAGAATAAAATTATTATATTCTCAAATTTTCGGGAAAATGAATTGGGTCGTTTGAATATTGATTTGTAATAATCAATAAAATAACGAAACAATTTACTCACGTATACCTACGTATCAGAGGCAACTGAAAATCGTGGATGTATAAACATTCTTAATTTAAGATGACAGGCGTAACAGCATACGTGAGAGTCAAATAGAGAAACTGTAAACAAAACGACCATCGGTTTTATTGCTTCGACTTCCGCTTATTATATAAAACATTGGGTTTTATTTTAATTCTTGACGGTGAAATTCACAATTGGTTGATTATAAACATGTCTATTTCACATTCGCGGAACCAAGTGAACGCATAAAACAAATGCAGGTCTGTAATGTTAAAGTCGATGTAAATAAGCGTGCTACCCTTATGTTTCAACCGAGTTTTTCCTTTAACAAATTTTGTGTCTACCAAATTGGGTTGGTTGGGGTGTAATACTAATAATAAGTGTTGCCTTTAATTTAATCAATAAAATAAATTGACTTCATTAATTTTTTTGAACCACCTCTTAAGATAATCTAAAAAATATGAATGGAATGATAAATCACAAGTACAAACTCATCATATTTTTTGCATTTTAGATAGGATTTATTCAGCAAAATTTAAGGGTGACGTCATCAATTTTTTTAGGAGGGATGAACAAATACATTTTGAACAAAAGTTTACCATGCTTATAATAACTTTAAAATATTCCCAAGATTTCAAAGCATTCGGTTTTGTAATTCCTGATTAAATCGATAAAATAAATTCACGCCTTCATTAATTTTTTTGAGTCACCCTGCATATGCAAATCCAAAAATATGAATGGAATGATAAATCACAAGTACAAACTCATCATATTTTTTGCATTTTAGATAGGATTTATTCAGCAAAATTTAAGGGTGACGTCATCAAGTTTTTTAGGAGGGATGAACAAATACATTTTGAACAAAAGTTTACCATGCTTATAATAACTTTAAAATATTCCCAAGATTTCAAAGCATTCGGTTTTGTAATTCCTGATTAAATCGATAAAATAAATTCACGCCTTCATTAATTTTTTTGAGTCACCCTGTATATCAAATCGAAAAAATTTGAATGGAATGATAAATCATAAGAAGAGACTCACCATATTTTGTACATTTTAGATAGGATTTTTTCAGCAAAATTTTGTGGTGACATCATAAATTTTTTAGGGGGACGACCACATACGTTTTGATCAAAAATTTACCATGCTTATGATAATTTTAAAATATCTTCAAGATTTCGAAGCATTCGGTTTTGTAGTTCCTGAGTAAATCAGTAAAATAAATTTACGCTTTCATTTATTTTCTTGAATCACCCTGTATATGCAAATCCAAAAAATATGAATGGAGTGATAGATCACAAGTACAGACTGATCATATTTTGTACATTTTAGATATGATTTATTCGGCAAATTTTCGAGCTGACGTCATCAAGTTTTTGGAGGGGATAAGCAAATATATTTTGACTAAACATTTATTATGCTCTTTATAACCTTAAAACATCTGCAAGATGTCAGAGCATTCCGTTTTGTAGTTCCTGATTAAATCAATAAAATATATTTACGCATTCATTAATTTTTTTGAGTCACTCTGTATATGCAAATCCAAAAAATATGAATGGAGTGATAAATGACAAGTACAGGCTCATCATATTTTGTACATTTTAGATATGATTTATTCGGCAAACTTTCGAGCTGACGTCATCAAGTTTTTGGAGGGGATAAGCAAATATATTTTGACTAAACATTTATTATGCTCTTTATGACCTTAAAACATCTGCAAGATTTCAGAGCATTCGGTTTTGTAGTTCCTGATTAAATCAATAAAATATATTTACGCATTCATTAATTTTTTTGAGTCACCCTGTATATGCAAATCCAAAAAATATGAATGGAGTGATAGATCACAAGTACAGACTCATCATATTTTGTACATTTTAGATATGATTTATTCCACAAACTTTTGAGCTGACGTCATCAAGTTTTTGGAGGCGATAAGCAAATATTTTTTGACTAAAGATTTATGATGCTCTTTATAGCCTTAAAACATCTGCAACATTTCAAAGCATTCTGGTTAGCAGATTAAAAATTAAATTTCAAAATGTTGTTTTATAATTTTGATTTTTTTTCCAAAAATCTGGACGTTTCGGGTGAAAAGTCGATTCAGAGTTGTAAACTACATGTGTAGGACTATGTTATTTTATACAATTGAAAACCCATTTACTATGTACAATTTTGAAGTGACGTCATCGCATTAGTGGTGGGGATGATTAGACAAATTTTGGTTAGCGTTTTACCATCTACATGATATTCTTAATATCAGTACAAAATTTCACAACAATCGGTCGAGTACTTTCGGAGATTATCTGTCTAATAAAATCCGGGACAACAGACGGACAGACGGACGGACAGACGGACAGACGGACGGACAGACGGACGGACAGACAGACGGAAATGGGAGACCTATTTCTTCGTCTTCTAGGGGTCATGAAAGATCGAGAAAACGTAAAAGTAGAGAGTCGGCCGACGGACTCGATTACAATACTTCCTTTGCTTACGCTCGGGAAGTAAAAAGAGGAAACTACAAAACAGTAGAGACAACCATTTAATAAAAATAAATGTATTTGTTTGGTAAAAAATAGACTTCCGTAACAACAAATTATTATAATCTATCACAATTTTTTTACTTCCCGAGCGTAAGCAAAGGAAGTATTGTAATCGAGTCCGTCGGCCGACTCTCTACTTTTACGTTTTCTCGATCTTTCATGACCCCAAGAAGACGAAGAAATAGGTCTCCCATTTCCGTCTGTCTGTCCGTCTGTCCGTCTGTCCGTCTGTCCGTCCGTCTGTCCGTCTGTCCGTCTGTCCGTCTGTTGTCACGGATTTTTATTAGACAGATAATCTCCGAAAGTACTCGACCGATTGTTGTGAAATTTTGTACTTATATTAAGAATATCATGTAGATGGTAAAACGCTAACCAAAATTTGTCGAATCATCCCCACCACTAAAGCGATGACGTCACTTCAAAATTGTACATAGTAAATGGGTTTTCAATTGTATAAAATAACATAGTCCTACACATGTAATTTACAACTCTGAATCGGCTTTTCACCCGAAACGTCCAGATTTTTGGAAAAAAAATCAAAATTATAAAACAACATTTTGAAATTTAATTTTTAATCTGCTAACCAGAATGCTTTGAAATGTTGCAGATGTTTTAAGGCTATAAAGAGCATCATAAATCTTTAGTCAAAAAATATTTGCTTATCCCCTCCAAAAACTTGATGACGTCAGCTCAAAAGTTTGTGGAATAAATCATATCTAAAATGTACAAAATATGATGAGTCTGTACTTGTGATCTATCACTCCATTCATATTTTTTGGATTTGCATATACAAGGTGACTCAAAAAAATTAATGAATGCGTAAATTTATTTTACTGATTTACTCAGAAACTACAAAATCGAATGCTTTGAAATCTTGCAGATGTTTTAAGGTTATAAAGAGCATAATAAATGTTTAGTCAAAATATATTTGCTTATCCCCTCCAAAAACTTGATGACGTCAGCTCGAAAGTTTGCCGAATAAATCATATCAAAATGTACAAAATATGATGAGCCTGTACTTGTAATTTATCACTTCATTCATATTTTTTGGATTTGCATATACAGAGTGACTCAAAAAAATTAATGAATGCGTAAATATATTTTATTGATTTAATCAGGAACTACAAAACGGAATGCTCTGACATCTTGCAGATGTTTTAAGGTTATAAAGAGCATAATAAATGTTTAGTCAAAATATATTTGCTTATCCCCTCCAAAAACTTGATGACGTCAGCTCGAAAGTTTGCCGAATAAATCATATCTAAAATGTACAAAATATGATGAGCCTGTACTTGTCATTTATCACTCCATTCATATTTTTTGGATTTGCATATACAGAGTGACTCAAAAAAATTAATGAATGCGTAAATATATTTTATTGATTTAATCAGGAACTACAAAACGGAATGCTCTGACATCTTGCAGATGTTTTAAGGTTATAAAGAGCATAATAAATGTTTAGTCAAAATATATTTGCTTATCCCCTCCAAAAACTTGATGACGTCAGCTCGAAAATTTGCCGAATAAATCATATCTAAAATGTACAAAATATGATCAGTCTGTACTTGTGATCTATCACTCCGTTCATATTTTTTGGATTTGCATATACAAGGTGACTCAAAAAAATTAATGAATGCGTAAATATATTTTATTGATTTGATCAGGAACTACAAAACGGAATGCTCTGACATCTTGCAGATGTTTTAAGGTTATAAAGGGCATAATAAATGTTTAGTCAAAATATATTTGCTTATCCCCTCCAAAAACTTGATGACGTCAGCTCGAAAATTTGCCGAATAAATCATATCTAAAATGTACAAAATATGATCAGTCTGTACTTGTGATCTATCACTCCATTCATATTTTTTGGATTTGCATACAGGGTGATTC